ATCGTCACTTCAATGTGGCGATTCTTGGAAGTTTGTTTCTTTGGACGAAAACGTCTTCTTCTTGATGATGAGGCGATTGGCAATTCAGTCAATAGTTCGAAGACTGAAGATTTATGCGTCGACTTCCCACATGGACATTGGGAAAGCACCGCAGATATGAGCTTCTCACAGTAGCAATGCGATTGCATTTGGTTCATGTTGCACTTGCGCGTGAGATAATCCCGAAGGTCACCAGCTGGACAACCCCCAGTAGACTCCATCATCTTGGTTTTCCCCGAGCGAGACCCTCTAAATGATAGAGGTTGACGACCTTGAGTAAGTTGACAAACTCCGTCATTTGCATGACGAGGTTCGTTGATAGGACGAGTTTGGCGAGTTCATCTTCTCGGTCAGTTCTTAACTTGAGGTTCGTTTTCATGATGAACCTCGGTATAAACTGCTTGTTGATTTTGTTAAATCTCTTTTTGAGGACGAGATTCGTGCTCTGAGTCTACTAGGGTACGAAGATGAGATCCGTCTTTCGAACGTTCCTCATTCACTTGACCCTCGTCAGACTTGTTGACCTTAGGTTGATTAAACTTCGGTCTATAATGAAAACCATCTAGCGAGACCAAAGCTCGAGCCCTACGGCGAGCTTAGTTCTGACGCTAACGTTGTCGAGCACGTCTCGGCAATGGAATAACAAAAACCTTTGCCTCAGCCGAAGTTGGGCGAGGTTCGTTATCAAGAGCCGTAATTTGGCTGGTAGAAGCTGAAGTTTGGCTAGGTTGCTTGACAACCCATTTCTTAGCCTGACGGCTAGTTACTGGAGCCTCCTCTTTGAGGGGCTTGGACTTTTCCTCAAGACTAACTCGAGTTGAATCATCAGAAGCCTCTTGGGCTGAAGTCTCATACAAGACTCGACGACACTTACGTTCCTTCGTGGGACTGGACTTACCAGAGGAGAGGTACTCCTCATACTTGGACTGGTCGAATTCAATGATCAGAGTTTCGACGTCCGTACCCACTACAATGTTGTCTGATTGCGCCACCACCATCTCGTCGGAGAGAATAGCTGCTCCCACTATGGTCGTCATCTTCTGTAGGGTCAAAAAATTTGAGATTGATTGATTCTCTTGTTTTAAAAAAACTGGGTTCGGTCACTTAGTATGAACCCTTACAATCACTCACTCTCTCTCGATTACAGAGGAAGAGAAGATTAATTCAGCTTCTCTTTTGTTTAAGGTGGGTTCTAGGTGGCGAAATGATGCTTCCCCCGATGCTTGAGTCGAGCTTGCCTTCCGTTGACGATCAGACCAAGATCGCAAGAGCTTCTGACGTAGGTTAACCGGGTAGAATCGAGGTTCGAACTCTGGATTGACGTGCAGAAACTTTAAGCTCTGATGCTTCTCTAAGTCCAAGCTTGAAAATCTCCAATTAATCGATAATCAACCCACCTCTCCCCCTGACTCCATAACTGCTTGCGTCTATTTATAGAGCTTTAGCACGTAATTGACGTGCTACAATCGTGGGGTTGTGGGCGTAACCGACTCCTGAGATTTAGCCCATGTTGATTAATGGAGCGTAACGTACTCTTTAGATTTAGCCCATGTGGGCTGACTTAGTTCTTGTGACCGTTACAGCCGAACTTCGTGTGGATGATGAGCCTCGTTGCATGGCGAGGTTCGTTAGACAAGCTTCGTCTTTGCTGACGAGCCTCGTCTTCACTGAAGAGCTTTGTTTTCGTTGACGAACTTCACCTCCGATGATGAACTTCGAACCTCGTATCTAATGACGAGCTTCGAACCTCGTTTCCAATGACGAGTTTCGTCTTTGATGTCAAGTCTCATTTCCAATGATGAGATTTGAACCTCGTTTCCAATGACGAGCTTCACATCTTGTTTCCAACGACAATCTTTGTTGTTTAAGACGAGGTTCATCATTGTTATGACCCTCGTCATGCTCGTTATGAGCTTCAACGTTCTAAGGCCAAATGATTAGCCAATGATCTATGAAGATCCATGAGAGTGGATGAGAGATAGGCTGTTTTCACTAGCCTCTCCATCTCCCCCCTCTTCTTTCATGTTGGTCATACCTATTTATAGGCTTAGGAGTATTATGAAGTGAGTTAATGGGCTTTAACTCCCTTTAAATGAGGGAGTTAATGATCATTAACTCCCATTTAAATGGATGAGTTAGTGGTCATTAACTCTCCTTAAAGGGGTGAGTTATTGGTCATTAACCCTAATTTAATATAGCCCTTTGAAACGGTGCCTGACGATGTTTGTTTACCAGACGAGGTTTGTTCGCCTGACGAGGTCGTTTTCCAGACGAGGTTCGTCCGTCTGACGAGGTTCGTCCGCCTGACGAGGTTCGTTCACTTCGCTATATCTTTGGTGAGCTTAACTGCGGCTTCATCTTTGGCGAACTTCATCTTCAATGACGAACTTCGTTTCTAGGCGAACTTCGTTTCTAGGCGAACTTCATTTTTTTGATGGGTAAGGTGTTGTTTGTCCTATTGAACTGAGACAAACTTCATGAATTGAGGCCGATGTTCGTCGTTGTGATGACCCTCGTCATACTTGTAGTGAGGTTCGACTCTCCTTCATTTCTTGGCACTTTTTAATGTCTACACGCGCACCTTCAACTCTTTCCAGGTCTTGGATGAGCTAATCCCCATTGCTTCCAGAACGTTGAGGGAGAGGTTGTTATGACAAGTTTGAAGAATGAACTCCTCCGTGACCTGGTCTCGACAGTTCATTGCCTTGTTTTGTAAGTGCATGACAAAATTGTTGATTGACTCCTCATCTTCCTACTTCTCGTCTAGCATAGTTCCGATCGACACCTCAGTGTCGACATCAAAAAAGTTGCTGAGAAACAGGCTTTCTATGTCGTCCTAGCTGTTGATGCTCACTGGCTTGAGACGTTGATACCAATCGAAGGCGGTCCCGCGAAGGGTGCCTACGAATGATTGAATCATCAAGGGCTCATTACCAAAGATCATACCTAAGTAAGATTTGAAGTAGATCAAGTGTTGGGTTAGCGAGCCTCTCCCGTCAAATGGCGTGAAATTAATTAGGTTGAACCACCGGATACAGAATCGACTCCCACTCCCTCGGGTATGGACACGGTATGCTAGTATTCTTCACCTCTTGAGCCGACATCAAGGCGTTGACCTTGTTCTCAAGCTCTTCCATCATTTTATTGTCTACATCCACATTTTTATTTGGGGGACGTTGAGGAGGATCAACCGGACCACCCCCAGTGTTATTGCTGTTGGGAGGAGTATCAGGAAAATGTGTTCATCCACATCTGCGTCGCTATCATTTGCATCGTTTTGAGCACGACAACTAGATTCAGCTCGCTGACTTGGCTCAGGTTGTTGATGAGACTGAGTCTGCAACTCTCTTATTTGCTGCTTGGTCAACTCCCTCTCCATCTTTATTTTAGCTCTAAGCTCTTCTTTTTGCTTGGCCAAGGCTTCTTGGATTATTTGGGTCAACTGGTCCGGAGTGATGGTGAATGCCTCCCGAGCTCGCCCAATGCTAGACATTATTTCGTCTGAAGCGACCGCGGAGCAAGCATCCGATACTTCATCATCTGAGGATATTCCTTTATGCATCCTCTGATAATCCCTACGTCTGATTGCTCCCTGTCGGATTCAATTTCAGAATCAAATTAGATTAGGAAACAAAATCAATTTTGATTCATGATTTGTTTTCTCTATTATAAGGAGTTTTTTTAAGGATAGAATTTGACTTTTTTTTTGTAATTCTAGTCTTACTATGAGTCTTATTTGATACTTTCTATTTTTGTAATTCTAGTCTTACTAGGAGTCTTATTTGTTTTTCTATTTAAGAAGAATCATGTAACCCCAAAGGAGAATAACTTTTCATCAATAAAATTTCTCTTTTCAATATTTTTTTTTGTGGATTCGAAGTTCTTCGTGGATTCGAAGATCGTTCTTTGTGGATTCAGAGAACACCCTTGGTGGATTCCGAGGTTATCATTTTCGTGCTGCGTCAATTGGTATCAGAGCAAGTTCCTCCGATCTGATGGTAGGTGATGAAGCCCCTTTCTCTCGAACTGAGTTTGACGTGCTGAAGACTGATGTTAATCGGATGAAGACCGGTATTAATCAGATGAAGACTGTCGTAGAGCGACTTGCGTCGGCAATGGAGCGTCTGAACACGGTGGGAGTTCAAAATCGCGTTGATGGTCGCCAACGACGTGATCTGACTTCACAAGATAAATTCTACAACGATGATCATAGAGGCTATCGAAGAAAGGAGAACTATGATGCTGGAGGATTAAAAATATCATCCTTCAATGGAAAGCTTCATGCTGATGATTTCCTTGATTGGATTGATAAAGTGGATAAGTATTTTGAGTATAATATAATCCCAGAAGATTGGAAAGTTAAATTTGTAGTCTACAGGCTTAAAGAAAAGGCATTTGCATGGTGGGATGAAGTACTGATAAATCGATACCATCAAGGAAAGGATCCGGTTCGAACGTGGGCAAAGATAAAGAAATTATTGTGTGAGATCATTTCCTACCTTCCAACTACAAGCAATGGCAGGTGTCTCTAGTGGCAAACAACAAGACGCTCACCCCCAGAAAGGAAGATTTTGCCACCATCAAGATTCATCCTGAGGTTCCTGATGATGATGATGATATGTTAATGAAGATAAATATTCTACATGATATTATGAGTGATGTTACACATATTGATATTGTCCCGATGGAAGAGAAAGATAAATTAGAGAGTGAGACAATTGATGGTATGTGTGCATTGCTTGGTGGAGAGCTTGAGATAAAGGAGATGAAAGAATTGTGTATGGAGTATGAGGAAGAAAATTGTTTTTTTGAAGCAATAATCATCAATAATTTTAACAATGGTGAGATGATACCGTTGACACTAGAATATGAGAAGCAACAAGAAAAATATTTGGAGGAGTTTTTCATGTCAACTACAGAGCCACATGCTGTCAGTTACATACACTTGTCATGAAAAAGATTCATACACAAGTTTGATACAAAAGATGTCCTAGCAGAGAATGTAAAAGAACAAATGGAGAAAATCAATACTAAATACAAGGCTGATACTGATCATTGCAAGAGAAGAAAATTATTTATCAATGAAGCTACTATTCTAACAAATATAAGCTCGGGGTAGAGCTTCTTTCAACAAGGGAAGACTGATGTAGGACGCTTAATCTGAGTTGGAGTCTATTTAGATTAGGAAATATATATTAGGAAATAAATTTAATTTTAGAGTCAAATTAGATTAGGAAACAAAATCAATTTTGATTCATGAGTTGTTTCCTCTATTATTAGGAGTCTTTTTTAGGATAGAATTTGATTTTTTTTTTTGTAATTCTAGTCTTACTAGGAGTCTTATTTGATACTTTTTATTTTTGTAATTCTAGTCTTACTAGGAGTCTTATTTATTTTTCTATTTAAAAAGAATCATGTAACCCCAAAGGAGAATAACTTATCATCAATAATTTTTTTTTTCAATATTTTCTTCGTTGATTCGAAGATCGTTCTTTGTGGATTCAGAGAACACCCTTGGTGGATTCCGATGTTATCACTTCTGCGCTGCGTCATGGCCGTGTTGGGGATTCGAAACAATCAAATCGAACTCTTGCCCTTCCGGACCTTGTGTTGAAAGTAAGAAAGTAGGAAAAAAAATCACCTCAAATAAAGATCAAAACTTGCAGGAATAATAAAGGAGACAAACACACAGATTTAACGAGGTTCAGCAACGTGCCTACGTCCTCGGGAGCCACACCACACAATTCTTTTATTGATTGAAGAAGAAATACAAGCTCTCAAACTAGGATTTTATCTCTCTGAGATCTCTCTGTCAAAAGCTCTCTCTTTTTGATGGTTTTCTGATGCTTAACAAACCCTAAAAAATGTTTGGGTATATATAGAGTTCTGAAAGAAACAGAATCCAAAACAGTTTAGGAAACAGGCTGACTGCATCGAGGTCGACCGTGGCGGTCGACCACGTAGGTATCGCGATCGACTGCGGCGGTCGACCGAACCAAATTCCCGAGAGCAGAAAACATTACAGTGTTGGCACGGTCGACCGAACTGATTCTCGAGACCAAAAATCCCTACAGGGTCCTCGCAGTCGACCGCCTTCAGCTCCAGCCTCTTCTCAGCTCTGTGCACGTTCGCGGTCGACCGTGCAAGCATTCTCCTGTTTTTCTCGATTTTTCTCCCTCGTTTTGATTCCAGCTTCGGCTTCAACTTTGGGGTCTACACTTTAGACTAACAGGCCGGATCGGTAATCAAATTCTCTTTGAAGCAAGATCTTTCATGTCCCTTAAAAAAACTATTAATTCATAGGTCTGTTGAAGAGATCAGTTTGTAGATCATAATAATTGGTTTATACCTGACAAATGTAAGAATTATTTGCATACACATCTCTCAGGTTATTGCAGGATACGAGTGGCCATCAATTTTAATTTGCCCCTAATTTATTACCACATACACGCATTGTCCTCTCGACCGTGTTATTATTGTTTTTGTTAGCTTTTAAACTCAAGTTGAACTTTCATAGAGTTGCTTTTAAAATAGCATAGAACTGATACTCGCATTGCAATTACATTGTAGAACCAGACAAAGCCCTTAATAACATCAGGCACACGCGCAAAAAGACGACGCACCTCCAACTTGCCAAGCTTGATCAACATGCACAAGCTCCGATCCAAGAACGCTTGTGCGTATTTTTTTCGATCGGTTTGAGGAGGGAACTTCCCCCGCGAACAAACGCGACACCAAGCCAAGGACGGGTACGAGAAGTTCAGCACATTGTGGGGGGGGCCTCTTCATATTTCACCC